ATGTTTGCATGGGCGTATGCCCACAAGTGTCCTCCCACGTTGGATTTAAATATGACAGTGTTAGGTTGAGTCTGAGTTTTCCAGGTTTTGAGGAGTTTTGTGAGAGGTGAGAATTTGCTGAGAGTACAGTGCCTCTGAGCACAAGGTCCTGAGGTCCACCTACCTTCCTGTTTTCTCTTGTGATCTCTGCCCCGTGTTGCTGTCCGTTGGGTCTCCTCATCATGGATGAAGCCAAGGCCGCTGGAGAGCCAGGCCTGTGCTTAGCTGCTGAGTGTGGTACAGATGGCTGGGGAACACCAGACTCTAGGTCCTTGTGGGTTGCTGGCTCCTCCCAGCATCAACCCCAGCATGTTTGTGCCTTCCCTTTCCTCTTACGGGGAGTGAAACCCGTGTCCACGTGTGGTGGCAGCACACATGCATTTCTTGAAAACAGCATGTGGTTTTTCTGTTCTAGGGCTCCATGTGGGTGGACTCAGCTTGTGTTGCTGGCTGGCTGCTCCTGAGACCATCCTGCCTGCCCTTGTGGCAGTCCTTTGTGAATGGCTGTGGGTCCCCATGCTTTCTCAGTGGCTTCCACTGTCTTCAGGTGCTGCTGGGCTTGGGCTGGGCTGAGCCCCAGGCCATAGCCCATCATAAGACAAACCCTACCACTCTCCTGTCCCCTCTTGTCCCCTCCCCACTTCTGTCCCATCTTTTCTGCAGTTCCCCTTGCTGACAGGGAGGCTCCACTGTCCCCTCTGGCTCCTCTTGTCTTCCTGATCACTTGGTGGGTTGCCAGGCCTCAGTGGGGACCCCCTAATTTACTTCCTTTGCACTGTTTGTTTGTGTGGACAGGGACATGTCTGTCATGTTCCCAGTCCAACAGCCATGACTAATACATGGCTGCTACTCCACAGGCATTGAAGGCCAACACCTGCAAGTGGGCTGAGGCTAGCCAACCCTCATGCCCATGGCAATGTCCCTTCTTGTAGTACTGGCCCCCAATGCAGGGACCTGACCACACAGTCAGATCCCCTTGGAGCCCAAGCATCTAAGGTGAGGCCAAGTCAGAGCTTGTCACAGGAAAGAGTCTAAGGAGAACTGGTCACTCATGGGTGGATTCTACAATAACATCCTGGATCCCCTTCTTATGAAAGTTGTAGGTTTTTTTTATTTATTTTATTTTATTTTTTAGGAAAGGGTCTATGGGTATTCAGGATCTCACTACTAGATTGGACTCATAGTGATCTACCTGTTTACAGTGTCCTAATATCTGGGATTACAAGTGTGTGCCACCACACCCAGTCTCAATTGCCATCTCAGCATGCCCCAGGGGTGGAACCGGCATGGCAGGCCTAGGGAATTGAACCCCCAGCCCCTGAGCCTGCTTGCAGGCACTTTAATCCACTGAGCTATTTAGCCAGCTCTTGGAAGTTGTGTTTAGTTTTTGAAGTTGTAGAAAAGTTTTGATAGTCAAAGTAGTTATAAGGAAATAGAGACATACCCATCATGGACAGCTTGGAATGACCCATGTCACACACAGGTGGTGGAGGTGCTGTCCTAGACTAGCTCTGCTGGCTTCAGCTGCCATTACGGTCCAATTCTGTCCCAAGGCAGCCACATTGTCAACTACAGGAGGGGCAGGGTTCCAGGGATGGATAGCAGTGTTCTTTGTTGTTTCCTTTGCTGGGTTCTCACTATGTGGGTGTTTTATCCCCACCATGCACCTTGCTTGGGAGGTTCTGTGACCGATCCAGGCTTACAGACTGGATGGGGCTACTCTCAGGTCACACAAGGCTGACAATTTGCACTGACCAGGGCAGCCCTTGTGTCATTCAGTGACCTGTCCAGCCCCAGGCAGATGGCACATCCCCCAGCCCCAGGAACTCAAGGTGCAGCCCTGTTGGAAAAGGCCAAAGGAGGATGAGAGAGTTGGCTTCTGCTTCTTGGGGATCTGAGAGTACCCCCACAGTCTCATGGCACCCCCATAGTAGCCTTCCTGAAGGGAGGGCCCAAGCCCACTGAAATGTGCCCCTTGCCTTGCCATGTGTTCATGCAGGATATTTCGACAATGACTCTGTAGACACAAACTCTAAGGGTGGGAGGTCCCCTCCTTGGAGACTGGTGTGTATTGTTGGCAACATTCTAGCCCAGTATGGCCAGGCAGTAGGAGGTCGGCACACCTCCATGGGATAGACAACTGTCCAGAGCACATCAACGTGAGAGGCTAGCTGGTGGCCCCCCAAAAGCCACAGGGTGCTGGAGGCTGGTAGCACCTGTTGCTCAGACTCTACCAGAAGCCAGTGTTCCTACAGCTGAGTTATAGGCGAGGAGGCCTGTTACCTGCTGGGCCGTGCGGGAGTGAGGACAGTACTGGGTCAGCAGTACCTCCTGCAGAGGGGCCTTGGGAGGGACTGTGATGGATGTAGCTGTTGCTGAGCTCGGTGCATCAAGGACAGGCTGGCCTTGCCTGAAGCCCATGGCAGCCAGGGCTGCATCAGGCCATGTGATCAGTGAAAAGACAGTGACCACACAGGTAAATGGTCAGCACAGCTGGCCTAGTGGTGTTGTTCCCAAACCAACTTTTGCCTCTTCCTGTTCCTCAGGACCTCTGTCCTCATCTTCCTCCCCAGAAGGCTGAGGGTTAAGTCCAATCACTTTGGTCCCATCTCTTCTCTTAGCAAATGGTCAGGGTGAGTAAAAGTTCTGCTGTGGTGAGGATATTTCTAGAAGCTCCTGGAAGGCTTTCACATTGAAGAGAAGGAAGAAGTGGGCTTTCTTTTTGCTGGTGGTGTAGGATGGCATATAGTGATTCCTAGAACTCTGGCAGCCTCTGTGCTACTATGAGGTACCCAATTAAGAGCAGAGCACCCTGCTGAGGCTCCAGTGCAGGGGGAGAACAGTCCTGGTGCTGTATTAGCCAACCCTGAAGCCTTCCTGCTTATCTTCCCTTCCGCTTATTAACTTTTGGCTTTCTGCGTCTGAAGGTAGAAACATCTGATCATTGTTCTCAGCTGTTGTTTTACCAAGTGATTCTATAAACCAAGAGCTTTTTTCAAAAACAAACAAACAAACAAACAAACAAACAAAAAACCAAAAAACAAAACAAAAACCAAGAGCTTCTGGTCCCTGGGAAACAATCCCAACTGTAGCTCAGAAAATTGTTAAAAATGGTGTGAAAGGTACAGACTTGCATATGAAACAGGAAGGATGAATGTGGAAGACAACTGGGTCAGGGCCATGGAGCTTCAAGACCAGCTGTCCTTGTACCCAGGGCTGGATCTGCCCCTGGCCCAAATAATCACTTCATAGTTTAAGGCATTCTGTTGTTAGAGCAGCAGGAAACCCAAGTCCAGGTTTGTCTGCTGCAGTCCGGGCCTGGGAGGAGTAGGTTGAGGTTATCCCCGTACAGCCAAAAGCCCACCCTGTGACTAGCACCTGGCCAGCCAGGGCCAGAGCAGCTGGGGCAGGCAAAGCTGTGCTGGGGGCTGGGGTGAGGGCGTGCTCCCCGCCTCCCTGCCTTCATGGTGGGCGCTCCATGGGGTGGTCTGATGTTTACATGTCCCCCTCCATCCATCAGCTGTATTCATAAACACGCAGAGGCCCAGAGCCCAGTGGCCCCCAAACAGAGGGGCCCGGGCGGGGAATCCAGCTTGCTGGGGCTGCCAGTGGGTGCCTGGGGATTCCAGGCACGGTGGGCACTGTGGGCCTTGACCCGTCTCTCTCAGACCGTGGAGGGGTAGGAGTTATTCATTAAGCGACACAGCCAGCCAACTGGATGGGGTGAGCTGGGGTGAGCTGAGCCCACCTTGAAATGAGATGCTGTTCATGCCAGTGCTCTCAGAGGCCCCCAGCAGCCGGGCTGTCCAAGTGGAGAGGTGGCCCTGGGGACTTGAAGGCTGGGGGTGGGATCCTCTGTCTACCCAGTTGTAAAGCATGATGCAGGGTAGGGCAGAGTGTGTGAGAGGCTCAGAGAGGGATCCGATCCTCCACTCTCCAGCCCTCACTGGGCTGGCCACACTGTTGACCTGGCTAGTGTTAAAAATCACTGTTGAGATAGCATAGAAAGCTCCTCTTTTCTTTTTGGTGGTACTGAGAGTTGAACAAGGAGCCTTTACTTTGAGCTACATCTTCAACCCTTTTAAAATTTTTGTATTTCGAGACAGGATCTGCCTGTCACTGTGTTGCTGAGGCCGGCCTCAAGCTTGCAGTCCTCCAGTGTCAGTGTCTCAGGGCACTATCATTATAGGCACAAGTCACCATGCAGGCTAGAAACCCCTCTGAACCTTCCCCAGAGCCCTATAGGCTGCAGAGGGGGAAACTCCTGACACAAACAGCTTTTCAAAGTGACCAGTAGCCAGGTGGGTCTGGGGCCAGAGCTCAAGCCAGATTTCAGGACAGGCCTTGCTCCCAACCCAGCCAAAGGGCACATGGAGGCTGGGAGACTTGGCTGCCCTGCTGCCCTCGCTGCCCTCACTGAGCCTGTGATGTGTGCTGCATCCCGTGGGGCCTGTGGCATTCTGCCCACAGCCTCTGTGTTAATCATTGAGCTGGTGATGTCTGCAGACCCCGCTCTCTGTTCTGGGGTGAGGAGGGGCCGCCTTGCTGGCGGGTGTATGACCCTGGGACCGTGTCCTCCCTGCCCACAGCTCCCTGTCCTTGAGCTTCCATCCAAGGTCAGCTTTAAGTAGCCACAACTAAGCAGTGGTCCTAGGGACTATCCTGGAGTTCACCAACCCCTTCAGAAAGGGAAGGAAAGACAAGGTGCCTAAGGACTGTTGCTTGGAGGGGAGGGGCTTTCATGTGTCCCCATGGAAACAGAACTCAGCCAGGTCTCCAGGCAGGGGCTTAGACCTCATGGCACTCAGATCTGTGTCCATGGTCTAGGAGGAGGAACGAGGGGCAAGAGGAGTGAAGTGTTGGCATCCCACTGTAGAAAGGAACCAAGCAGGGGTGACCTCCCCTATGAATGACCTCAGTATTAGCCTCCACAGGTGACACCCACTCCCTTCCTCCCGCAGGGCACTGCCTCAGTCCTCCAGCGCAGATCTCCCAACGAGGAGTACGTCGAGGTGGGCCGACTGGGACCATCTGACTACTTTGGTGAGTTGGGATTCCATGTCTCTTTGGGGTCTTGGATGAGCAGCTGCATAGAGGCTTCCTGAAGTCTTGGGGTAGGCCCCAAGGGGATTGGGCTGAGCTACAAAGTGGCTATGACAAGGGCCTCAGTTCATGTCACCTCACATGGAGGTCTAGGACCTGGGACCCCTAGGATCAGTTGGTCCTACCTGTGGCTGCTGAGAGGACGTGACCTTGGGGAGGGCCAGGTTGAAGGAAAAAAGGGATGCAGGGATCAGCCACTGCCAGCATTCCTAATCCTGGGGGGTGTCCTGAGCACATCTGGGCTGGTGCATGCTGCTCCTACAGCGGTAGAACAATGCCTAGCTGAATTTGAATTTCAGATAACTGTGAATGCTTTGATAGTTCATATAAATGTATATTGAATATTTGACATAGTTCGATGGACATACTTCACACTACAATTTTTTTGTGTACAGTATTTGGAATTCAAATTTTCCTGGTGCTCATGTGGCACTGGCCCTGAGGTAGGTGATTTCTGAGCACCCCAGAGTCAGCAGAGCCCTGACTGTGCTGTTTTCATCCTCAGGCGAGATCGCGCTGCTGCTGAACCGGCCTCGGGCGGCCACTGTGGTGGCCCGGGGACCCCTCAAGTGCGTCAAGCTGGACCGGCCACGCTTTGAGCGTGTGCTGGGGCCCTGCTCTGAGATCCTCAAGAGAAATATTCAGCGCTATAACAGCTTCATCTCCCTCACTGTTTGAGCAGCTGCTGCCCGCCATGTGTCTGGGCTGGGAGCCTGAAGAGGTGGCTGGTGGCGCTGGTGACCCAGCATGGACTCCCTTCCCTCTGGACTCTTTGTGGAATAAGTAATCAGCTTGTGCATTTCCAAAACAAAGGGCAAGAAAACAGAAGATGTCCCAAGACCAAGGAGGTGACAGGCCAGCTTCCTTCCCCAGTGTCCTTCCTGTCTGCCCCAAGGGCTTATTTGGAGCTGTTCCAGCCCCTTTGAGTTTGCAGAGGACCTATGGTGTCAGGTTCTCCAGGCCTAGTCCCACTGTGGGACAGATTTCATGAGATAGGTTTTTCCCCAAAGGGACATTCAGGCTGGAGGCAGAGATGGAGACTGAGGAAAGAGGGCTTAGGCCTGTCCCTCCCCCTCCTCCATCAGGCCCCCAGGGGACACTGGTTGGATCCCTGGCTCCTGACATGGTGACCTGGGCTGTGGGCCCATATGAACATGGAAGGTTGGAGGAGCTGTCCTGGGAAGAGATTAGAAAGGCCTCCTCTGAGTGAGCCACACACTGCTGGACACCTGGAGCAGTTGGCAGGGCCTGATGCCCCTCACTGGAATGGGTAGGAGCCCTAAGTTTGGGACTTTACAATTCCTGGTGAGTGCTGCATTGGGATCTCTTCTCTTGAAGTCAGGATACTTGTCAGCCATGTGGCCACTTGAGGACCTGGAGGGAGAGTTAGGCTTTCTGAGCATTTTGGATAAAGCTGTAGGAATCAAGGTTCCTTCGGAGTGGTCCCCATATGACACCTGTGTGACTGGAGTCCAAGCCCAGGAAGACCATGTGTTCCTTACCTAGCCTTCATGCCCAGGATGTGAGGGAAAATGTAAGGGAAGCCAGCCCTTCCCATCCCAAACCATCCACAGACCTGTCCACTAGATGTGTCTCATGTCTCACGAGGGCACAGAGTCTGAGAGCCCCAAGGGGCCATCCCGTCTTGTCCCTGCTGTGGCCAAGGAGGCCACCCTGCCAGTGAGCAGCCCCTGCCCTTGCCTATCCCGCCTACGCCTGTGGACTTCGTGGCTGTGCACTGCCCCTGGCCGCTCCTGGTGTGCATGAGCTAATAAATGTGCAGTGAAGAACCACTCGCTGGCTTGGAGCTCTTGGTTTGAAATCTTTCCTAAAGAGGGGTTTTCTTTCTTTCTTGTTTTATTGTGATAAAATGCACGTAACACAAAATTTATCATTTTAACCATTCTTAAATGTGAAGCTCAGGGACACTGTCCGCATCACCATGACCATCACAGATGGAAACCTCTTCCTGCAGAACACTGGCTCCTCATGCCTGCTCCAGCCTATGTCTACCCTGTGGCCACCTTGCAGACCAGGTAGGAGGCCATGCTGTTGTTCATGGAAGGGACAGGGGGAAACTGTGGCTCCCAGGGGAAGAGGCTTACTCAGGGCCATCAGGGAGGGTGTGGCTTGGGCCCTCCAGCTAGCTGGGGCCACTGGTCAGGGATCTGCCGATGAAGTGCAGAGGCTGGGACTTGGCCTAGGCACAGTGGTCGGCTCCATGCTGCTCTGGCCTTTGCCCCCAGCCAGCCAGGGAACCAAGGGCTACTCTGCCTTCATGGGTGGGTTCTCCCACTCCTGAGGCTCTGAACCCCTCCTGTGCCTTTGCAACTGGTGTCAGTTTCCCAGAGTTCATTTCGTGGTCTCAGGTTCTGGCCAAAAGACTGAAGAGGACTGATGCTCTGCTGGCTCACAAATGGGCAGTGCCCATGGGCTCCCTCTCTGCTGGCCACCCCGGCCCAGGGGCTTGGCTGAGCCTGCCCCAGCTCTGTCTCCAGCAGTGCTCTATGTGGCTTCCAGCCTGGACCTCTCAGCCTCAGCTTCCCCATCTGTAAATGGGCGTGACAACCAGCCAAGCTGGGTGGTAAAATGAGATCACCACTGGCTGGAAGCAGCTGGGCAGGGCCCACCACACAGGCAGCCAGGATGATGACCTTGGCCAGGGCCTCCAGACAGTGGACAGTTCAGCCTCACCTCCCCCGGATCAGTGAATCAGCCAGACTGTGGTGACTCATACTGAGACTGGGCAGTTCCCTCCTGGCCCCCACTGCCATACTGGGCAGCAAGGTAGACCTGGGTCGGGGGTTCTCTCATCTGGAGATGGGGTGCTGCAATTGTGATCATGGCCATCCCAGGCTGCTGTTCCCAGCCCCCAGAGATCTGGCCTGCTCTGAGTGCTGGGCACCCCTGCTCTGCCCAGGGGCTCCCACCAAGCTGACCTCCCTCATCCTGGTCTTGCGCCCTGGGATGTGACCAAATCAGGAAGCTGGAGTCTGACTCCTCTGTATACTTTTGTGTCCTGCTGGTCAGAGGACCCTCTCGCCCGCTTCACCCCATGCTGCCCCTTGAAGGTCATATAGTCTGGTCCTGACTTGTACTCCAAGGGGTCTGGTGTTCTTAGTCTCCCACTCTGTACAGAGGCCATGTGTGCTGTGGGCCCCACGGCCCTCAGAAGCCCTGCCTGGGACCTACTCAGCAGAGATACTGCTGTGCACAGTGGAGTTTTAAATCTGTCAGACAGAAGATCACTGGGCTGTTTCCCCAGAACACCATCTCCTGATTTTGGTCACAGCAGCAAGGTGCTTTGGGATCAGCCTTCAGTTAGGACAGAGCCCTGTGCCATCCCACTAGAGACTTCCCTTACAGTTTACACAACCAGCCCCCTCACCCACCTCCTGGTAGATTTCTGTGGCGGAACCCAGCTGATGTGTTTCAGGAGGGCATTTGGAGGGAGGCTGGCAATAGCCGACCTGCCATTCACAGCCCCTGCAGACGAGGTACGCTGGCTGAAGTGCCGGATTCTAAACTCACCTACCTTGCCACAAGCTCTGATCCTCATTCTTTCTAGCTGTGTGGCAGCAGACAAGTTCCTTATCTTTTCTGGACCTTGCTGGTCTCATACATAAAACAGGAATAGGAACAGCTGCCTCATTTTTACACTTTAAACATTTTATTAGTACATACTTGCAGTGTATGATTATGTTCATGGTGGGGAGTTGGTACATTTGCATAATGCATCTTGATTCTTTTTACCTCTTGAGGTTAGATTTTAATGTGAAGTGAGATTGTGTTCATAGTAAGTGTAGAGAGGATCTGACCAGAGGAAGTTCAGATTCAGAACTGCTGGCAGATGTAATGACCCGTAATGACCAGAGTTTTCCCCAGATCTGTATGCTGTGGAGCTGGTGGCTCAGGATAGTGGTTCTCTCTCTCTCTCTCTCTCTCTCTCTCTTTTTTTTAAATTTTAGGGAGGGGCCTACAGTGTGTTCAGGGTCTCACTACTAGATTGGCTTTGTAGTGATCCGCCTGTTTACAGCCTCCCAAGAGCTGGGATTACAGGCACGTGCCACCATGCCCAGCCTCAATTGCTATTTTAGCACACCCCAGGGGTGGGGCTGGCATGGCAGGCCCAGGGATTGAACCCCTGGGGTCAAACCCCTGGCCCCTGTGCCTGCTTGCAGGCTACTTTAATCTGCTGAGCTATTTGGCCAGCCCAGGATAGTGGTTCTCTTGTCTGGCTGGCTGCCTTGGTGTCTTACCCCCACCTCCTTCCCCTGCACTAAGCCCTAGACCCCTAAGTCCTCAGTGAAGGTATCCAAGTGCTACTTTGTTGTTGCCTGGGTGTAGGAGCTCCAAGGTGAGGTGTCCATGAAGGTGGCCCTGATGTCCTTGGAGGTGAGATGGCACCTCTGCAGTCCCCACCCACCTACTACTTCAGTCCTTCAATAGCCCTTTGGGGAGCTGCTGGACAGAGGGGCTAGGGTGACCCTGCTGTCCCCTTGTCCCGACTAGCTCACCTCCAGGGAGGTGGTAGCCTCTGTCTGCTCAGCCCCATAGAGCAGCAGTCCACATGTAATAGTGCCTGGTGCTCAAAGGCTCTCTCCCACAAATCCATCCACCAAATCCATGGCAAGGACCATTGTATGAAACGAGATGCTGGTCTCAGAGGGGCATTCATGGGCACATGGCACAGAGGTGTCCAGGGAGCTGGGCCTGGGCCTTCCCCACTGGCTTAGCCTGCTCTGCCTGTCCTGAGTGATAAAAACCATTTATGGACCCAGCCACCACCCCTGGGCCTGGCCAGGTTCCGCCTCAGGTCAGCCAAGCTTCCTGGGAATCCCCTGGGGAGTCCTGGGGCTTGGCAGAGGTAGAGGCAGTGAGTGACCATGGCCAATCTGTTCTCTGCCCTGTGACTGGGGCCTGTAGGGGCTGTCCCTGGGGCCATTCACCCTCACCTCTTCCTCCAGGCTGGGAATAGAGTATGGGGTTAATGGGACCCACAGAAGGGCTAGTGCCAGTGCTGAGCAGGTGCCACCTCCATCAGCCATGGAGTCTGGGCCTCAGGGTCTGGGCCACAAGTAGGGCAGCAGCCTTGTCCTCAGGAAGACTCCTGTTCCAGCTGGGCAGGACAAGATGCAGCTGCAGAGGGGTGTAAAAAACAGTGGGGTGGAGGCCTTCCCCTTAGCTCATCTCTTTAAGTGCCTGCTTCAACAAAGTAGTCAGGCTCAGGTTGCTGTGGTTCAATCCCCAGAACTCAAGCCAGCCAAACCTGCCCTGAAAGCATTCAGAGCAAAAACCAACCAACCAACCAAACAAACAAACAACAACAAAAACAAAAACAGTGGGGGCTAAGCACAGCCAGGGATGGTCCTGGGGCAGGAAGGAAGCCAGGGACTGGCTTGAGGGTCCCAAGCCCAGGTGAGCCCTGAGCAAGTATAGGATCATCAGCCACAGAGCCCTGTGTTGGGTGAAGTAGGGGACAGGAATGGGGTATGTAGGTTGAGGTCCTCCGGAGGGGGTCAGAGAGAGTGGTACATGGGGCTTGCTTCATTTTGGAGGGGTAACTGTGGCCCAGGGCTGTCCAGGGCATTTCTCTTGCTGACTGATGCTGGGAACCCACCTGAGGCCAGGCAGGGTAGGTACAGGGGAGAAGAACCCAGTCTCACTGGCCTCTGGCCACTCACTTTAAGGAGGGGAGCATAGGGCCACAGAATTCACCCTTTGGAAGAATCCTTGTGGAGATAGCTGGTGCCCTCTGGCCCTGCCCACTAAGCACGTCTAGGCACCCTCAGGTTGTGTGAGGGCTTAGGGGTGGGAGTCTTATGGAAATCTACTCCCCTCCTCTCCATCTAGGATGGGGGGTGGGGATAGGAGGTACCAGGCATACCAGGTTCTGGGGTCTGGCCTGGTTGGATCAAGTGGGGAAGAGGGGGAAGGGGAAAGGAGAGGAGGGGAGGCAGAATAGAGGGAGGGAACCAGAGGGGAGTCGGGAGGAGAACAGAAAATGCATTCCAGAGGAATGATGTGAAGTGGGGAAGGTCCCTGGATTGGCTCCCCTGAGAGGGAGATGGGAAGGGTGGGGTAGGCTGGAAGGGAAGGTTCTTACCCCTGGGAGAGCTGCCTGGCCACATCTTTCAGCCTCCTCTGGAAGCTTCTTGTCATATTCCTCTTGGCCCTGGGCCAAGGTATCCCAGGGGCAACTTAACTGGGCAGGGGCAGCAGCCCAGCTGGGCCTTTCTGCCCCTGCCCTGCCCTGCCCAGTGCACACCTGTTGTGCCTCAGAGCCCACACAGAGCTGGCTCTGTCCTGGCTGCCTGGCCTCTGAGGCTCTTGGGTGCTCTGGAAGGTGACCTTTTGGTCAGAGGGCACTGTGGGAGGGACAGAGCCATGTGTCCAGTCTGACCAAGCCGCTAGTCTCAGCACAGTGGCTAACTCAGGTATCCATAGCATCCTAAGTGCTTTCTGAGTTCCAGGATTGCTTGATCCTGGCATCCTGAAGACCAGGCAGGCATGGCACATCTGGGCCTTGGCCAGGGTCACACAGCTAACAGATGAGGCCAGGGTCCAGACCCTACAGCCTGGCTCTTCTCCTCTTGGGGCCAGGCTGGATGTGTGTGGGCAGGGTCTCTTCTCAGACACCCAAAGTTACAGTCAGCTGGGGATTCCTGGGAACTAGGGTGGTGATGGTGGTGGTGATGATGGTAATGGTGATGTCAGTCTGGAGAGGAACTTGCAGGAGAGTGAGCTGTCAGGCTTCTCCTCCCTGGAGCCTCTGCCACCCAGAGGG